CCCTCAAATTCGTTTATGCCCATGAAAGAATAAGTCAGCCACATTAGCATTTTAACACCGCTAATAAAGGAAAAATAATCTAAAAATGTACAAGGACTTGAAATGGAGATAAAAAGCGGGAGTAATGAGAGATTAAGAATGATTAAAAAAACTGAATAAAATGACATAAAAGCCCATTAGAATGGTGGGGATATTTTTGATAATTTAGAACATTGATAATTAATTGAAAAAAATTAAAAAAGTGATATCTTTCATTAACAACAAACATTAATAAGAATTGAAAGCATGCATTAACTATATATATTTTTAATTTTTTAATTACGAGATAATTTTTTTTAATCTTCAAATTTTTTTCTTGTAGTCTTCTAATTTTAAAATAGTTTGTTATAGTTTATCAATACTATTGTATAAATTTAACTACTAACATAATTGCTAATAATAAATTTATATAATATTTTAACGTGATATTTTATTATTAAAAATATTAGTTAAATTTTGTGTGTCAAGAATTGATAAATTTATTAACAAATTTGAATAAATAAACTAAAATAAAATATTCACTAAAGGATGAATTTTAAATTTGGAAGATAAAAACAAATTTATATACATATTTAATTCTTAAAAACGTTGCATGATATGTGAACTTTATTCGGTAATTACCTTTGAAAACTCGACCAGCGAGAACAAGAGCTACTTAAATTATAGAAAAAGCTACACTTAAGCTGTTAATTTCATCGTTAAGAGAACTGCTTGCACTTGCACATGCACATGCACAGAAACCAGAAACTAACTCAGAAATATTTGTGTTGAGCAACACTCTCTCAGGAAATGCAAAATAAAATCTAAAGCAGTGGTCCTATCTGCAATAGAATGTTGCTCCAGATCGACCTTTGCTAACCATCCAGCTCGCAGCAACCACGTCCAATAGATATCGTTTGATGGGTGCTTTCATTTTTCCCCTTTCCAGAACAACAATAAAAATAATAAAACAATGCTATTTTTGTATTTTTAACGCCTTTAGAAAAAAATGTTTGAAAAGTCCGAACAGGCCCGTAAAGTAGAAGCAACATAAAAGGGCCCAAAATCTCACATTCAATTCAACGTTCAAATCCCAAAAAAAGGTCAAAAATCATCTCCGATTATTGCAAATTTTCATTTATTCGCAACTTTCCAACTACCAATGGTCAGAGTCACGTTTTTTTCATTCTTCCCTCTCTCACTATCGTAGCCACAATGGCCAAAAAACCGTTACTCATCTTACTCCTCCTCCTCGCCGTACTCGCCGGAGCCTCCTCCAACGACGGCGGCGAGCTCGACTACTCCAAGCTCTCCGGCATTATAATCCCTGGCTTCGCCTCCACTCAGCTCCGAGCATGGTCCATTCTCGACTGTCCTTTCTCTCCGCTCGATTTCAACCCTCTCGATTTGGTCTGGCTCGACACAACCAAAGTACGTCGCAATCTCTCTCTCACTCTCTTCGTTGTTTCGCATTCTGTTGCATGAGGATCGAATCAACGAGAGTTTTTTTTTTCTTTTTTTTTTTTTCTCGGTGATCGATATTTTGACTTTTAATTGTGACTGTTGTATTGCATCAATATTTGCCAATTCCGTCGCGTGTTTATGCCGGTGAAGACGTAAATTATCGAAGGACGCGTCCGAGAGAATTTATACGTTTAGAAAGAGTTTGTGAATTTGCTCTGACTGGAATGTAGTTTTAGCTCCGTTGTCTTGTCTCCTCTGTTTGTGTTACTATATATGAAAATTTTCTTGTTATATATGAAAATAGCGCTAGCGAGTTGCGAGTTAAAGAGTGAAGAGTATGGTATGTGACAGTGAGAATTCGTTTGTTTTGCAGCTTCTTTCTGCCGTGAATTGCTGGCTTAAGTGTATGGTGCTGGATCCTTACAACCAGACAGATCATCCTGATTGCAAGTCTCGTCCTGATAGTGGTCTTTCTGGTATCACAGAACTCGATCCAGGTTATATAACAGGTGTGCGTTTCTCTATGTTGTATGAGGTTTTAAATTGTGGTCGCTGTTTTGTTGCTTTATATATTGCAGAGTAATTATGGTCATGGATACTCGAAAACCTTGATGTTGCAGATGAAATTGCTGTGGGGAATTTTTTTTTAAAACCTTGGCTTTTGGCTTTGTCAAATATACGCATCTGTGTTTGTTCTAGTTTTTGTACTTATGGTTTGGGGATGTGTCATTTACCTGTTTAATGGCAGGACCTCTTTCATCGGTTTGGAAAGAATGGATTAAGTGGTGTATTGAATTTGGAATTGAAGCTAATGCCATAATTGCTGTTCCTTATGACTGGAGATTGTCACCATCTATGCTTGAAGAGCGGGATCTTTACTTTCATAAGCTAAAGTATGTTTACATCCTTGCATCTGACTTGTTGTATGCCACAGTTATTCTGCACAATGATTTGGATAAAATGCTTGCTTGATACAACTATGTTTTTATTTTGCTGGTTTGAATGTTTTGGTCGGGGGTTGATTTTTTTCTGCTAACCAACTAATTTTCAGTACTAGAAGTTTTCTTAAATGTGTACATGATAGTCATTAGTCACAATCTTGCTGCATTGTCTGTAAAATTGTATGTTTGTGCCCATGCCAACTTCATGAGAAAAAAAGAATATTTTTTCCTTTAGTCTAAGTTTGGAAGTTTTAAGAGAATGGCATGAAATAGAAGGGGAAGGGGTGGACTTGAAAATAGTTACACTTCCCATGTTCTTGGATGACTAATGAGAGAAGAAAGCAACGGGTAAAAATGTTGTTTAGTGTAAAATTTTAATATAATCCTATATACATTAAGTAACCAAATATATGGGGTAAAATACTAAATAACAAGTTTTTAAAATAAAAAGAGCCTCATCTATTCATTAGCTCGTCAGCTTGGAGGGGAACAAGCCCCCACATTACCTTCCTCTTTGTAAATTTTTAACTCCCAAACAAGGGAGTTGTTACTGGTTCCACCCCTTCATTACCTTTCATCTAAACAAATTCTTAGTTCAATTTCTTCAAACAAAAATAGTTGCAAGACTTGCGTAATAAATAGGTCATACAGTCTGTACTCGAGAACAGTTTATCATTCAAGATTAAGAGTATTCTCAATAACTTTAGTCTCTTCTTCATGTTTGTTTGTCAAACCTTAGCACTTGGTCATTCTAATATCCATATATACACAGAACATTGACAAATTTACACATACAAATTTGGAATTCTCTACTATGATATTTTGATAAGTATTGGTTATCTATAAGTGGATGAATTCTAATAGTACCTGTACACCTGATTCCAATTGTACCATTTCAAAAGTCAAAACTTGAGTTATTTATTTATTTTTCTCAAATGGTCAGATATTAGAACAAAATGGCTTGTGAGATATTTTGAGGATATTTGCATAAAATTGTATTTCTCTTTACAGATTAACATTTGAAACTGCTTACAAACTTCGTGGTGGCCCCTCTTTAGTTTTTGCCCATTCATTGGGTAATCATGTTTTCCGTTATTTCTTGGAGTGGTTGAAGCTAGAGATTGCACCAAAACATTATATCCAGTGGCTGGATCAACACATTCATGCCTATTTTGCTGTTGGTATGATTGATTTATGGGCATTTGTTACCCCTTTGAGGGTATTACAAATATGAATGAAATCAATGAATTGATAAGCTGATTTTTCTTCTATGCTTGGTTGTCCCAGGAGCTCCCCTTCTTGGTGCAACTGAAACTATTGAAGCAACACTTTCTGGATTTACATTTGGTCTTCCTGTATCCGAGGTTACCTTTTAATTTTTGCAATTTCTCTTATCTTTTGCATAACTGACATCACTTAGTTTTATTGTTGTTATTGTCACTTTTCTTTTGCATTACTTTTTTATCTGTTAATTTATCTTGTCTTGGGCGGAATCTGAACTATAAAAATAATAGCAAAGGGTAAATTATAAAGTTATTTTCATTATATTGACTGGTGTAAGCTTGCTTGGGATATGGTTAATGTATATAAATACAGAAGAGAAAAGTAATTTGATTTAAATTATAGTTGACTTACACAATACTAGCAATAAATAATTCACACTGTATTTCTTGGCATGAATTTTGAAGAACACCCCAAGAATTCAAGTAAAATGCTGTTTGTGTCTTATGTTTTGTGCTTCAATTGTTCAATAAGCAGTTGTAATAGTTGTGCTAAGTAGAACTGTAAATTTGGAAGAGAGACACAAGATCTAAACAGATCATATATCTCATCAAGGGGATGTTAATTCATAGTTACCTGATCTCTTAATGGTTATAGCACTGACTTACAGAATAGTCTGGAAGTGATACTATTCTATCATTCTCTGAGCCTAGATGATAATCAACTCCCAGATAAACATCAATCTGCTATCGATTAATAGATGGATTGATTTGGGCATATGTCCCATCCCATGTTTACTATTTCATATTCATATGCAGTTTTATTCTTTTCTTAATTCATGCTTATCATAATTTTTTTAAGGTATCAGGGGACAGCTCGATTGATGTTCAACTCCTTTGGTTCATCATTATGGATGATGCCTTTTTCCAAGTACTGCAAAACAGATAATAAATATTGGAAGCATTTTTCTGGGGGAAGGCATGTGGGTAAACAAACTTATCACTGTGATGAGCAGGAGTTTCGGTCAAACACATCAGGGTGGCCAACAAAAGTAATTAACATTGAAATTCCCTCAACTCGTGGTAAGGTTGATGATTCTTTTGCTTTTGCTTGTTATGGTACTTATGATCCTCAACTGCCTAATTGTAACATCTTCTTGCAGGATTTGATGCATACCCTTCATTTTCAGAAATACCTGAGGCCAACTTGTCCAGCATGGAGTGCGGACTACCTACTCAGTTATCTTTCTCAGCCCGTGAAGTATCAGATGGCACCTTTTTCAAGGCAATTGAAGATTATGACCCAGACAGCAAGAGGCTCTTGTATCAGTTAGAGAAGTTTGTATTATCTCAATAATAATTAAAAATATATTTTGCCAGTGTATTTCGATTATTTTATATGAAATGCCAAAAGGCAATCATCTGACGGAAAATATGTTCTTCCTATAGTTTAGTTGTTCTTAATATGCAACTAAATCCCTTCTTTCCTGAAGAAAAATTTAAACACAATATTTATAAATATGGTTACAACAGTGAGCTTTAAGAAGGAACTGTAAATATGGCGCTTGCATTTACCAGCAATTTATAATTAAAAATAAAAACCCGACTCTTCTCTAATATCTATTGTCCTAGCTGTCCTAAATTATAGGTTTTGACTAGTATGTTTTGTTGCTATGAGTGTGTTTTCATTTCTATTTTTATTTACTGTTTTTTTGGATTTTCTTTTACTTACTGCTAAGCATATTTATATTGTTATTTGTAGTTCTACTAAATGCTTGAATGTTTCAGATCATATCTTGGGGATCCTGTTCTTAATCCCCTTACACCTTGGGACCGGCCACCAATAAAAAATGTCTTCTGCATTTATGGGACTGATTCAAAGACAAAGGTATAGTTTCCTTCTACAAATGAGCATGCTATTATTTCTAATGTCTAGTTCAATTGCAAATACAAAATATTTCCATTCAAATGAAGTTTGGTCTTATATATGCATGCATTTAATTTAAATGCACCAACAGTGTAAAGATTTTTACATTGTCATCCAATTATACCTAGCATGATCACGATGTATAATAAGTTTGTTGATTTTTATAATAATTATACCTAGCATGATTTTTGATTGGTTAACATTGGTAATATTTACACTGACACTAATGTTTGGGTTGTGAACTCTATCAGACTTATGTTTTTGTTAACCATGTCTTACATTGCTATTTTATTTTTATGTAGCAAACATTGGGCCAATAAGTATGGTGCACTTGAATACATAAGTAGTGAGCTTTATTTGGTTTTGGAAGTTATGAAGTTCTTCAATCTTTTAGTTATATGGAATATCTACGTTTGTTGGAGTTACATTGCAAGTACTTATAGATTTTGTGATTCAATCATTTTATACTCCCCATCATGTTTATTTTCAACCCTTAACATTATTATTCCTTTCCCTCATTATGGTTAGTTGTGTTAAGCAGAGGCCACATGTAGAAGGAATATACAACAAAGAAGCATTTCATATCGAGTCTGAATAATTTAATAAAAAGGATTATTCTGGTCTCTCCAAACCTTAAATATTTTAAGTTCTATTGAAAATTAAAAACATTCAATACATGTTTCTCTCCATGATAGTCAGTTTAATAGCATTTCACATTCTAGACAGACTTTTTATCTGTGTGATATTCTGGTCTTTACTTCTTTTTGCTTATTGTTTGAATACTTAATACTTTCTAGTGGTATAGGGGTGACACTGGTATACTGCACCTTCATATCTTGCAGTTTTCACAGCTAAAACTTTTATGCTTTATTTAACTTCATAAATTTTGTCAATTGACAATTTCTGTATATGGACAATTTTTTTGCCTGTTTATCAACATTTACCTGTATCCTGAGATTCTTTATTTATATATCGTAAATCTTTGGGGAATCTGTTGATCATAAATAGTGTTGTTGTGAATGACATTTCTGGCATCTTGACTTTAAAAAATAGGTTGGTTACTACTTTGCCCCTAGCGGCAAGCCTTACCCTGATAACTGGATCATTACGGATGTCATTTATGAGTTTGAAGGATCTTTAATCTCAAGGTAACTGTCATATCTTTTCAGGCGTGTAGTTTTTTGTAGTTGTAAATGGAATGAAAATTCTATTGTTCTCTCTTTCTCTCATTTTTTATTTGTACTTCAGTGAGCATGTCTTTTTGCATAAAGACACAAAAGTATGTCTCCGTTGCACTATATATTTATGCTCTTTTGGTTTTGAGGCCAGGAAGAATACCATCTCTTCCTTTTTGGATGTTCAATCTCAATTCCTTTTCTATGTTCTCTTTTGTTTGACCTTTTACCTTAGAAGGGAAAGGGAGGGGGAAAGAGGGATTCAATGAAGTATATTAGCTGTGCAAAACAATTATATTGTCAATTGAACTAGTGTGCAGAGTATTTGGACACTGCAGCTCCTTTTTTGCTGTTGTCTTGCAAAACGTTGGTTGTGTCACCTCATCAATAGATCATATTTTTCTTATCACGACAATACTAAGAATCTCTTGGGTTTAGGCCATGCCAATTTATCATAACCAGTTCTTGCAAGAAGAAAATCTATACTATATTTTTTGGTAGTCATCATATTCATATCATCTCTTATTATTATTATTTTTGCAGGGGGGATGGTTTGTTGGTTAAAATTTTTTGGCATTAAAATTTTATATTAGTATTATTTTCAACAAAGCAATTTGTAAAATAGGGAAATAGTTATTACTATTACAGTTCTTATTTGTACATTTTTTTCTGGATATTCTATTTAAACTTGTTAAAGTGTTTTAGTTTCAACTGTCAGGTCAGGGAATCTGGTTGAAGGGAACCCTGGAGCCATAAGTGGTGATGAGACGGTAAGCTCAAACTATGTTTCCTTTACTGTGGTTGTGATGATGTAGGATTGCACAATGTATTTATGGGCCATTTATCCTACTTTTGTACTTCCACTGTTTTTGGAATTGCAATGTGTGAGCAACTGAGCATTACATGTACATTCTACAATTGGTTTACTACAAAATCAACTCTTTACAGGTGCCATATCTCTCCCTTTCCTGGTGCAAGAACTGGCTTGGGCCCAAGGTGAACATAACAAGAGCTCCTCAGGTATTGCAGTCTAAACATGATGTGTAAGTTGTGTTCAATTCAAGTGTGATTATGTTTTTTTTCCCAGTTATGTTTTTGGGATCAAGTTAAATAGATTTGTAAATGTGTGTTATTGAATTATTAATTTGCCAGTACTTACAGTATTGAATTAATGCTGCATGTCTTTATTTGTTTATATGGATGGGTGTGTGTCCACGAGTTGTAAGCCAGCCCATAAGGACATAAGAAGTCACTACTGAAAATGAATGATATTGATAAAGAGATAAAGGAATTTGTTTTTCACTTCATTATGCCTATTCACTCTATTGTGGTTTGATGTGGTGGTGTTTCTTTTTTATTATCCCCCATCCACTTTTCTAGTGTTTATGTGTTTCAAACTACTCTAGCATCCAGAGGCTCTTGAATCAGTCTCTGACTTAATAATTTCCTGACCATAAGCATCTCAAACCAGATGCCATCGAATTTTGATTTATAGAAAGCTCTATCTTTTCATCTCTGATATCTCTTGTTATTGTACCTTAATCTTCTTTATATATATATATATATATATATATATATATATATATTTTATCATCATTTAGCTTCATTTGCATGCATACTGATATTTATATCACAATATTTATATTTATCTTTGTTCTGACTTTTCAGTCAGAGCATGATGGTTCCGATGTGCAGATTAATTTGAATGTGGAACATCACCATGAAGAAGATATTGTTCCAAACATTACTCGATTGCCTAAGGTTAAGTACATAACATATTATGAAGATTCAGAAAGTCTTCCTGGGAAGAGGACAGCAGTTTGGGAGATAGATAAAGGTGCATGGCTTGTCCTTGGAGTTGTCATGGACTAACAAGCGCTGTTATTTATGACTAAAATAATGGTAGCTAGATTATGATGGTCATGCAGACAAAGTTAATTCAGTGTTGATAAATGTCTTGTCAATTTTATAACTGGATTTAGAGGTCAATGCTCACAAAATTTACAAACACTTAAAAGAATTCATTCACTTAGCAAAAGATTAGGGTTTCAGTACGAAACCAAATATTGGGTCAAGGAAATGTTTTGGTTAAATGTTATGTAAATTTGATCCTCCAAAGTCATGTCTTACCTCATTAGTCCTTGAAAAATTTAGTTATCAAATTAGCCCCTCAGATATTTAAATCGTCATCATTAGTCCTTAAAGATTTTGCATCAAATTAGTCTTTTAAAGATTTAATCTGTGGCACCAAATTAGTCTCTCAAACATCTTAAGTATGACCATATTGGTCCTTTATAGAGGATTAAAGGGGTGAATAATAAAATCTGAGGGTTTAATTTGGTGGCGGATTATAGCTTTGAGGTAGTCAGCGAGAATAACTAAAATGTCACCATATTGGTTTTTACGGAGGACTAAAATGGTGATAAGAAGAATCTGAGGAACTAATTTGATGATAAATTAAATCTTTGGGGGATTAATTTGGTGGCAAAATCTTTGGAGGATTAAAGTAGTGACAAAAATAATCTTTAGGGGACTAATTTGGTAACCAATATTTTTGAAGGAGAAATGTGGTGACACGTATAACTTTAATGACCAAATTGAGGGTTTGATCTGAAATATAAATTTGTTTTATTGATTAATGATTACTACTTTTTATGGATGAGCAAGAAGTATGGTCTCAGTATCTGCATGTCTTTAACAATAAAACAATCGAGTACAAGGATACATACAAGTAAACTAACACAATATTCTTGTAGCAAATCACAGGAACATCGTTAGATCACCAGTGCTAATGAGGGAGTTGTGGCTTGAGCTGTGGCATGATATCCATCCTGATGCAAAAACGGAGTTTGTCACAAAAGGTATTTCAAACTAAATTTATTAACAATTTTTAAACAGTTCAGCTGAGAATGTCCCATTACTTTGTGGCTTTGTTCCATTACAGGTAAGCGTGGACCTTTAAGAGAAGAGGACTGTTATTGGGATTATGGGAAAGCTCGTTGTGCATGGCCAGAGTACTGTGAATATAGGTAGTTTTCTTTCTCCTATATTTAAGTTTGATTTATTATTTTTGCGAGGATTATGATTTTGGAAATCTTAGCAAACATATTTCCAATTAAGGAAGAATTAACCAAATTCAGAAATAATTATAATTCCATGTTCACAGAATGGGTACTGGTTAAGTTAGCTGAATTACAGAATTAATCATAAATCCCAACATTTGTTAACTTTTATTTAATTGGAATTTTGTATGAAAAAGTTCCTAAATTGGAACCATTTTATTCTTTATTTACTTTTTAAAATTCTTTTAATATGTCAGTTGATCATAATGTAGGTATGTTTTTGGTGATGTTCACTTGGGACAAAGCTGCAGGTTGAGATATACTACAGCTGATTTGTTGTCGCATTATTTGTAAATAGTAAGGTACCTTCTATGATGTTCCTAATGTTGTTCTTCTCCTTTATTTGTCTTGAACGTGCACTGTTATATGATTTTAAATATGATTTTGATTAGGGTAGCCTAGCCTTGAGAAATAATTTAGTTACAAATTGCTCAATTGTCATGACTCTTGCATTTGTCAAGTCCTTACCTCCTAAGTCATTCTCTTAACTAATCTGAATTGCAATTATTAGTGATTTGCACAAGCACAAGTAATAGACTTAGTGTGCACAAATGAATATTTTGCCTCATTCAATAGCTTCTTAACATTGTTTTGCAACATCAACGAAGAAATCACTAATAGCTTCTTAACATTGTTTTGATCTATCAAGTATTGTTGCCAAATTATGAAGGTGGCAGATTTTTACACAACTTGAGCAGTTGAGCTAAATTTACACAATCTGGAGTTATTAAATTACTAAATTTAATTGATTATAAACTCAAAATCTAATATAGAAGGCACATAAACCTCTGTATGCAAGGCAAAAATAGGACAAAAAATTGCAGTTATACAACGAGTTTCTTACCAAATAATAATAACAATAACAATAAAATAATATTTTCGTAAGGCTTTGCATTACGAAGGAAAGTATGTTGATAGAAAAGTACTATTTGGCCTATTAATGAGACACTCACTTATTATCCATATAAGTGGATGCATTTATCAGCCTAGTAACAATATAAGTCAGACTTATTTGTGGGAAAAATTATTCCTTGGATTACGAGTGATTAAATACCACTTGAACCATTTAATTTTATGGGTATTTTGGAAATAAAATTTAAATTTTATGACATTATTAATTAAAAATAACTAATTAAATTATTTGCATTAGTTTTAATGAATTAATTATTTGTTTCTTATATAAAGAACGAGGTAGTAATATATATATAATTATTTATTTGATCCTTATAGTTTGCAAAAACATTACTTTTTAGTCCCTATTATTAAATACTGCTTGTTTAATCCCTACACAAGAACTTTTAGTTCCATTTTGGCCCCTACCACTAAATTGGATGACTTGACCCTGACATGTGTCGCGCTATATTATTTTGTCCTTATACTTGTGTTATTTTTGGTTACTATACTTGTGCAACTGTCACATTTTAGTCCTTCCACATGGAAACTATTCCTTTTAATCTGTATTTGAGCTTTTAATTTTTATTTATTTATTATGTTTTAGTCTTTATGAATACCTCTTCGCTTTCTCTTCCCTTCTCCTTCTCTTGTTGTCCCCTCTATGTTCCCTTTTTCGTTTTCCTCATTTCATCAACAGAATTGAAAGTGTTGTTTAGAGACATTAAAACAAATGGTTTTTAAGTGTATGTATTAAAAAGTAAAGTTTGTACAACTATAGTAACCAAATGAGTAATTAAACATCAACTTGGGTTGGTGCGAGTGACGAGGAACTCACATTGCTTAATCAAGTAACTAGAGTTTACTTATCCAACTCTTGTAGATGCATAAAACTCAAGATGGAAAAAGATGTTCACTTATTTTATAACATCTCGGACACATTGGAATGAGAAGGATTTAAAGATTATATAAGTATGAGATTGTATAGTTGAGGATGACTTAAAAGAATTAATTTATACTATCTATACCAACAAGATGCATCTATTTTTTGATAGCATATCTCATAAGAACTCTACAGTTAAGCGTGCTTAACTTGGAGTAATTTAATGATAAATGATCTTTTGAGAAGTTTCTTAGAAAATGTACAAGTGAGGACAAAGCATATTAAAAATTTTTGTGTTGATTTGTGGGATTAGTTATTGATCTTAAAAACGGACGAACATCTTAGAAAAGACTATCCATGAGAGGTTCTAATTGATAAAAGGTTTTAACCAATAAAAAATTGTGTGATGTGTCACTGAGTGAAGTGTCGTGAAGTGTTGAGACATTAAATCTGAGGGGTGTAAGGTGTTACATATTTAGTGTTTGTCAAATTTTTAAGGAAAATTGTCTTTATATTCGAGAACACTTATTGGTAGTAAAAAAAGAAAAGTGTAATTAAACTTAATATATTTTCTGTTCTCAAGAATATCAATAATCTTGCTTTCTATTCTTATCTGACATTTCATTCTTCAGTCATGTCATAAAATATTATTCGGAATCTAAAATCGTATACATAGACTAGGGTGCCTATTTGGTCTGTGTTTTTACTGTTATTTCAAGCTTTCAGTTTTTTCACCCCAGGTGCTGATGTGATTACCTTCTGGCAATTTTTACTGGATGACACGCTGCATACGCAATTTTCAGCTTTTTGGACTCTGGCCGCTCTTTGGCATTGTAGACTTGCGGGGCCACTGTATATCAAGCAAATTCTTTGTTTGCTCGTTTGGAACTTAGACTCAACTTCTTAATTCCTCTATTCATCCACAATTTGCACAGTATATCTTGGGCCAGATCACAGTCAATGTTGTACTATACTGTTACTAGCAGCGGACTCTCCTCACCGATATATTACCGGTGGCATCTGATGTGCGTCTTCATATACTCTACATATCGAAACTCAGGTTATTGGCTTCTGTTTGTTGAAACACGATTTACACTGCCATTGGTTAAACTAGGTGCACCTTTTTATTCTTGGTTACTCAAGTGACCAGTTCCCGCATTGCCATCCATGAGAAATTATATAGGTCAAATTTGTGGTGGATTTGTAAATTTGTGCTGGTCAAAATGGTGATATGCTAAAACCCTTTGTTAGAAAAAGTTGACATGGAAAGTGACAATACAAATAGTGTAGACGACAATAGTGAGGCTGAAAACTTTTGTTCTCTGATTTCGTAACATAGACATTCTTTCACTACATTTGCCAATGTCAACTACTTCTCTCTTTATTTTTACACCACAAATCTATGCTGAAACTTGAAAGCTCAGCCTGTTTAACGGTTTAAGATGTACGATTCGAAGGTTGATAATCATGTCTTGATTTTTCAGTTTGTTGTTGTAGGCCCCTTCCCAGGAAAGGCAAAACAATTTTGTAATATTTTTTTATTAGCACGTTTGTGAATAAGATTCTTAATTTCCCAATCTGTTATCTTTTTGGTTTAGGATGTACTGTGTCTTTTTTGTTCTCGCTCAACGAAGGAGTAGAACGTAATAATATTTTAAAATGTAGACTGGGGTAACTAATTCCTTAAATCTAGGCAATTATTTTACTAATAATTACTGTCATTTTCTACAATTGATCAGTATTTTCTCAATCTAATCCTTGTGTAGATTGAATTTCGGATAGTAATAAATACCTCACTGCAAAGCATGTGTGATCTTATAGTTTTATTTGATTACAAGGGTAGAAATAGGTTAAGTTGGGGTTTGTACGGTTTGAGTTGAACATGTTTGTCAAATTTAAAATTTGATGTTGACCCATTTACGAGGTGCAGTTTTTTTTTTTTTAATAACATTTGACATTTATGTGTGTTGTAGAGTTGTTTTTCCATTAAAAACTAAAGTTTTATTAATATAACTTTCGCATTATAAGGTAAAACTTTATTTTGATTAAAGGATAATATTACATATATCTAAAGTCTACCAAAAGAAAACATGTATCTAAAGTATATATATTTTTTTTAAGTTTTGTCCCTTTGAAAGATTGATCTAACACGAAACTTTATTTAAAAGATTACGATATGGTGAAGTCTTTAAAATAAACTAAACTCTCTTAACCCTAAGCGTGTGGTTCGGCGGTAAGGGTTGATCCAAGCTTAAACAAGGTCAGGAGTTTGAATCTTGTCTTGTGTATGCAGTCGCATTAAATTTTGAGGTCAGCTATCCCACCCCCTTTGAAGTGCTCGAACGTAGCGAGGAGATTAGTCACTGCTATCGACCCTGGATACTCCAGGGACGAACAAAAAAAAAAAAAAAACTAAACTCTCTCAATAGATTAATGAAACTAAACTAATACACAAATTAGCTTATTTAAAATTTTAAACAAATTTTATCTTTATATATAGGTAAGAATAATTAACTCGAACAAAAAATGCTTTTTTAAGGCGAATTTTTTACAAGTGTTTTAGGGGTTTTGTTTCAATGAAAGTGTTTTATTGATCTTTTATCTCTTTTTATGTATAATCTTTATATTTATTTCTAAATTATATTTTAGTATTTTCTTAATAGAATTTATTAATAGACAAGAATGATTGTGTCATAATATAAATTATTTATTATAAATCTAAAATATAATTTATATGTTAAAAATATTTATATTATGAATTTTAATAATAACATAATTTATAATATTTGATAATGTACATCCACTTATTTCTTAATTGAAATTTATTAGTTTTAATTTGTTAAAATACTCAAATTTAAACAAGTAGATATATACTAACAAATCTTACAAATATTTATTAATTTACACTCACTTATTTTTTTCTAGTTAGAACATAATAGTATTTCAAGATAATCTTAATTAAAATTTGTTAACGTATTGAAACTAAGAAATATATGAGTATACATGAGCAAATTCTTAATCATATATTAAAATATTTAATTATTATAAATTTTACTTATATAAAATAAACAATTATCCTCTAAAATACTAGTTAACAAAATTATAATATCCAAATATTACAATAAAAGTTGATACCCTTAGTTAAGCTTTTATTCTTTAAACTTAAAAATACAGCAATATTGTTAAACTTTTTCAAAATATATATTTTATCCCTTTTGTCCAATATATCAGAAAATGATGTGGCTTTTTTTTTTTTTTTTTTTTTTTAACAATTTACTGGATGACACAACATAAGTTCCATTTTGGCCCCGAGATTTGACATATGCAAGACATTTAATGTTTGAACAAAACTTTAAATTGCAGCACTGAGTCTAAGACGCAGACTTAAACTTAGAAATCGTATTTCAGACATTCTTAGTTCGAGTTCGAGGACCCAAACCCAAAGACACGAGTTAAGACTTAAGAGAGAGAAATTTGAATCTTCTTTCCACAGAATCTTTTTGATAAAGAAGCAAGTACTGTGTACTATTATTGTCTATAAATCACAGATGGTAATAGTTGATTACAAGAAATGAGTAGCTATTCCACAAATATTGCTGAGAAAAAGCTTGTTTGATAACGACATACGTGGAGTGAGATTTGGTTTGTCAACATTAAGACTACATTCAAAGGGTAAAGTGTGAAATTATATTCATTAATTGAAAAATGATTTGAGATTGTGATATGATATAAGTTCATATTTAATAAATTATGAAATTATCTTAATTAAATTTCCAATCAATGATTATCATAAATCTTTAAAATTCATCCTCATTATAAGGTCAAATTTTGTTTAGTTTTGGCAAATGTTCAGAATAAACACTTTCTAGTTCTTAAAATAAGTCATCACAATTTCATAAAGGAGTCCACTCCCTTTGTGTGTATTAGGAATACAAAGCTGTCGCATAAAAACATGTTCAGAAATATAACTAAGGATTTTGGGAGAATGATAAATGATACATAAAAACAATGTGCCAGAAAACCCGGATTAGCTGCTCTTTTTTATCTCGAATAAATATTTGAGTTCCATGTGACACCTTCTGTCATCATCTTCAAACTGTAAGACAGCAACCAAATAGGAAAAAGTTCATCCATCCATATGGATCAAATGTACAGATTATAAAGAGTAAACCACAATATTCTTTCTAATAACCAGACAACTTGAGAAATAATGGAAGCTCTTCAAATTTTCAAACATTTGGATTTCAACTTTGTAATAGCCTTTAGCAGATTGAAATATAATGATTGTAAAATACGTAAATGAAAATTAAATAACTAATCCTTTTAGGTGTGGAAAGTGGTAAGGAGGAAGACATGAAGAGTGTAAAGGTAGTATGATATTCATTTCACCTTCGCATGCCTTTGTTGTACTTAACAAATTCAAAATGATTTTTGTTCCAAATTTCTTACCTTTTTAACAAGCATCTACTAAACTAAGTTCTTGGCTGGTCTTATTATATTTCTGATGGAGATAAAACTCAGCCTCTATGCATTAGTGACATCACAGCAATAGTGAAAATAGCAGAATTGAAAATAATTGGATCCCAGTTATTAAGAGTTTTGAGCAGAATGTAGAAGTTTTCCTATATTTGAGATGTCTAGGGCAGATGCACCTTAAATTGAATTCCTAAAATTAAAGGAAAAAATAAAAGAAAAATGGATCATACTGTGTTATGGCAATGTTAAACAAGTTTCAGATTATAGATATTTGAATAAAACTCCCATAACATCAACAATACTTGATAAAACTCTATTACTGCAGGTATACAACCAAGCAGAGAGTAAGCAGCATATATATTGCCTTCCAGATAGAAAATCCCCTTTGAATGAATTAAGAAAATTGAACACATTAAAATTATGAGCAAAGCATCCAATTAGAAAATGAATTTGTACTTCCCCATACCTTAAGTTTGGCCGAGTAAACACCCCTTGCAAGTGCACCAGAGGGAGTGGTGTCCTCCTTCAAGGCATATACATATGGCTCCTTTTGAGGAGCAAATGTACCCAACATTCCTTTGCTCTGATCAACTGAAAAAGTCCAAGAACACAATCAAATTATCATTGTAATACATTAAAAAAGGCATCATTACCATTGGACCAAATTCTAACAACGCATACAAATAAAGCAAGAAAGGACCTTAATGATCACAAAAAATGCATTCTTTTAGACCAAACCCAGACTTAAAGATGCTATATGAATAGACCAAATACTTAGTACTATTACCAACCGCTCCTCAAATACTAAAACCCATGAAGCATGATTACTTTTCTTGTTTGAGGTGTTAAACACTTATCTACATTGACACCTACACAATAAGTGTTAGACACTCCTCATTTGGTGTCCAGTGAAAAAATTATATTTTGTTAAATTGGACACTCTTAAGTGGACACTTCCATATGGGTCATAAGTACAAACTAGGGTGGGCTTAATGGTGATAAGTTTTGGTAGTTTGTCAGAAGTCGTAAGTTCAAACCTGTTGCCACTTGCCACCATTGTACTCACACACACACACACAAAAAAAAAGTGTTGAACAGTGTTTGTATTGACCTATAAATGTTAGGAGCCAGGTTGAAACAGAGTCATAGGACAAAATATTAATAGTTTCAAACATTTGGTTTTCAAAACTCAATATCATAAAGCTACATATTCAGATTATCTAACAACCGAAACAGAGAAAAGTACTATAAATAGTGTACCTTGAAGCCCTCCTTTCCACACACTGTTGGAGTATGTCAAGCCAGACACAATGTTATGCAGAACACTAAATTTTAGCTTAAGCTGATAGCGAGACCCCTCCCGGAGAGTGAATAGGGTACAACCATTCTGTTTTTCATCCACAGGTAAAGGAGTAACAATTTCACCAAAATCCTCGGAGAGAATTCCTATGGAGTGGAATTTCACTTCAGGATCCAATTTATCTGTGAAAAGAAAGAACTTAAATAGAAAGCAAACAAAAAGTTCTATGAAGCATAAACAAGGATAATAAACAAACTCAAACAAACCATCTAAATCACTTTCCAAGCAACCCAACAGCTTCTCCTTCCACCTCCTTAGGCTTTCGTCCTCCTACACAGCACAATTAACCTCAAAATCAGAAGAAGAAAAAAATACAAGTAAAAATAACAATACTGTAGGTGCACAACTAGAAATCACTCTATAAACCAATGTCATCAGCCTATGAGTTATCACTTTGATATCGTATGTAGTATTTATTCAAAAAGAAAAAGAAAAAGAACGAGAACAAGAACAATACATTGTGAGTAATTTAGCTACGGCTTTCTCAAAAGGAAGTAACCACAAAAACTTAAAAGTTTAAGACACTTGACAAATACTTAGAATTAGTTGAGCCATTTTAAACACTGCAAAGTTTACAAAGTTTTCACCATTCATTTTGTTTGGGCTTCACTTTTAAATACTATATAGCTAGTGAAAAATTCAGCCTTGTAGTTCAAGGGAGGTTTCTAAACAAAATCCTTGACACTAACAATCCATTCAAAAACCCGAAAAATTCGATCTTCCCGCTACCCCACTAATCACAACATCAAATAGGTTCGGAAAAAATGCAGAACAAAAAAGGGGGTGAAAATCACAAAAATTTAAAAACCTTGTCTCGTTCGATCTGTTCCTTGAGAGAAAGAAGAGGCCCAGGAACAAAGACAGCATTTTTATTATGGTGAATGGCTCCTTCTTCCTCTTCCTCTGCTTCTTCCTCCTCTTCTCTAGCGTGATCATAAACATCACTTGCTTTTCCAGTCACTTCCTGTTTGCTTTCATCAATCCCAGATGAAGGGCCTGCTTCTTCCTGTGCTCTCTTCCCATTCCCACTCTCCATCTTTCTGTCTCTCTCTCTCCAATCACAAAAAATAGAAGCTCTTCCGTTATTATGATATCTGTGTTTGGAAATTTTGGCACGATATTCAAAGAGAAGGAAAAGAAGAGTGAGAAAGAGCAGTAACAGTAACAGTGAGTGGCACATTCACGCTGTTTTGTCTTTCTCACTTACAAGTGTTGACTGACACAAACAATTTATTAAGGGTGCATCTGTCCGTTTCAATTTCAGCATTTTCACACACATTTGTCCCCACTATGTCGCATGCCTCCTTTCTCCTTTCCATTTTTAATGCTCCCAATACTACATACTTTTCGCAATTCCATTAATTAATTTATAAAAATAATTAATTTTTATTAATAATATTATGAAATTAAATTTTATTTTAAAAATATTTTAAAATGAATAAATTCAACACTTAAGGATATTAAAAAGAATAGTAATTAATACAGCTTAAAATAAGTAATTATTTCTTATAATTAAAACAAAAAATTATATTCATTTGTTTCTTATATAAAGGATTAGAGGGGGTATATTTATTTTCTTAAAAAAACTTTATATTGTTTATATTTTTCTCTCTTGTCTTCGCATCTTTCTAAAATTATAATAAATTGTGTAACCAAAAAAAATATAATAAATTTTTTTAGAGAAAAAGAAAGATACTAAGTAAGATAGTTGTTAATAGAATTGATTTTGCAATTTGGGTCCTTCCACAACATTTTAATTTTCAAACTCATGAAAGATATAATGAAACACTTTTATCCCATGTGAAAAATAATTATATTTCATTCAATGTTAAATCATATTTATCACTTTCACAAAAAAATATATCATATTTATAACTCAAAAAATACTTAACACTCTCTTACTAATATTTTCTTTTATTATTAATTAAAAATTACAAAATTTGATGGTCCATCATTAAATTAAGGAATACTCATTAAATTAGTAACAACATTCACAAAATATATGATTCACAATAAATTTTAATCAATAAAAAAATATTGAAGAGAAAGTATAAGAAAGTGTTGCTACACTAACATTTCTCTTATAACTTTACTCCCACATCATGTTTGGTTACAATTGCTTATAAAGATATCATTTTGATTTTAAAATATTTTGAAAGTTTATAAAAGTAATTACATTTTACAACATAAATTATCTAAACACATAAGTTAATATTAGTGATAATACATTTTTTTTTGTATGATGTCACGAGTGTGACATCTTTTATAATAAAAATAACTCATTTTTTTAGAAATCATAATACATATCTTTCACTAAAAACAATTATGTTTGAATAAATAAAAAAACATCATTTGAAATGACAAAACTCTCTTTTACTATAACTTGACAATTAATTTTTAACTCTTATAACTAACTTTGAAATTTTAAGAGAAAAAAAATACATTTTTGGTTTAAGTATTTTTTTTGTTATCATAATTAAGAAAAATTATAATGACAAAAATGAATACCAAACTTAATTCATCATGGTATTTCTCTCAATTCTATCATTAAGTTGATTTGAGTGTTTTTTTTTTGTTGAAGTTTTAAACTTAAGGATGCTTAAGATTTTTATTTTTCAAACTCCAAAAATTAATAATAAACCGTTTGGAAGTAACTTACATAAACATTACAAATTAAAGAGAGAGAAAACTCTCTATATATATAAAAAAAAACTCATTTATAAATGTTTGACAATATTATCAGATTCTTTTACATTAAGAATAATTTGAACGTAACACATTTTGTCTTAAAAAAAACGGGGAGTTCGATTTTAAAAAATATAGAATATGATAGTATAATTTGAAACTTTCTCCGATAATATAAATATCATGTAATCATGTATCGAAATAAAAAAGCAGAAGATACTTTCCTTTGTGTTCTTTAGCTAACATTGTATTCTTAAATGTGAAATTAAATATTTTTTGGAGTTGGAATAAAAAATTAAAAAAATGATTTAGCTGATTATGTTTGTAATCCTATGTATTTATCGTGTAAAATTACTATGTTAATTCTAAAGAGAACTTACGAATATAAAATTAGAATTAATAGGTTTGATTCCAGATTCAATATTAGCTTCCATATGTCAAATAAACATTAAAAATAATAGATTGATAATAGTTGGAAGTTTTAATTTTTATTATCATTGCCTCGTGCCCTTATCATTTTAATTAAACACACTTCGGTAGAATCTGGTACTCGACAGTGTACGACAGAATATTGATGATAGATATGTTGGTTGGATCATCAACAAATTTTTACAATATTGTTTCTCAAAAGTCGAGTCTATTCCAACAGTAGCACATCCTCCTGTTCTTTAACAGCTTTTGTGGGTACATAATACATTCCCTTTATATTATGTTTGGTTGAGCCAAAGTAAAAGAGAAAGAAAGAAAATATCGATTATAATGTTTTTATAAAGAAAATAGAGAGAAAATGATTTTTTTTAAAAAAAATTAGAGATAATATATTTTTTTTAAAATTTTCTTCTGGCTCAAATTTCTTCTAAAAAAAAGCCCTCCTCCGCTTTCTTTTCTTCTAACCAATCGGGCCATTAGTGTTGGACGCATTCCATTATGTTTAATGTTGATAATGATATCATTCAAAAGTTGTTTTTTAAGTGAAGATAATGCTCAAACTTGAGCGACAACTAAGAGAAGGAAAAGAACCTATAGCTCAAATGCATGGATCCATTTACATGATAGTGGAAATACATGCCTCCATTAAATTTTTATCATCGTATAAAATATACATATTTATAAATATGTTATTTTTATAATTTGAAGTGTGGTAAAATAATAATAATAATTTATATTATAAATATTACCTCATTAATTTATTAAAATGTTTATATTCATTTTTTTCAATTACATATTTTAATATTATTTTTCTTCTTTTTTTGAAATATTGCAAAATAATAATTATAATGTAATGAAAAAAATTAATTATTTAATTAAAATTATGTTCCTTTACCTTTCCGTATATACATAAAATTTTGAATTGTCTAACATTTCAATCTATTATATTTTATCTCTATTTCTAACTTAATTTGAATAGTATTTTAAGAAATTATTAATAATTAAAAATAGTTTTATATCAAAACTTAAAATTATTAATTATTTAAATATATTTATTTATCAGAAATTTTAATTAAAACATTAATTTTTTTTAAAAATTAATTATATAATTTTTTATAAAGTATAATAATATAACTAAAATACTAATTTATATATATATAATTATCATCTCTATAAATTATAATTTTTAAATCTGCCCCTCTTCACAAACAAGAAAAAGAAACCAAATCATGAAAGCATGCTTTTTTTATTTGACCTGTACTGTTGTCAGAACACAACTGTACATGAACAAGAAGTGGCGGCAGTAACACATTCATGGACAGTTTGACACTCTTTTTTAAACATATTTTCGTATTGCTTAAAATTTATGTGGATCCGAATGAGATCCACCAAATAAAATATGAAACTCACCTGAATTTTACAGCTTGTCACAATTTTCACAAAGAATACATCAAAGGGCGTGAGATTGAATAAAAAATGCGCAGAGTAGTCGGTTATCTGAAAGGTTCAACTGGAGCCGATTCTTCAAGAAAGTTTGCTGTCTCAAAACATTCTGCAGCTTCTCGCATTGAACCCTCATCCTTGTGAAGAATGCCAAGATTATACCAAGCAGAAACGTTAAATCTGTCATGCCGTAGTGCATCCATCAGAAAGCTCCTGATAGCAGGATTTGATCGATCACTGCACATTCTAAGAACCACTGCAGTAGAGATCAAGCTGGGGACATGGTCGGGATCAATGCTCAAAGCATCACGAAGAACTTTTAAAGCCTCTTTGTAAAGGCCCTTTGTTTCGTACATTGTACCTTTGGAACCAAACAAAATCAATGACATGTCAATGTATAAGTAATTAAATAGAAAATTTGACTGCTTTATTTTGGATACTTTTTTTTTTTTTTTTTGCTAAAACTAAACATGCAGGTGAGTAGGAATAAAAAGGTGACCCAGCCAGGGGAGCTATTGAATTGCAGAAATCAAAAAAAACACGATAGTGCAACCATTCTAATTGTTGCACTCTTTTGCTGTTGAAAGTCAAAGAACACGATAAGGGTAAATGAAGTTGATACAATCATACAAGCACAAGCAACATAACCAAAGCACATTAACAATGTTCAACACGATACGTACGGCTCCAAAGCTTCTTCGAATGATCTAAAGTCTCTTTTCACACGCATCAGAACATATGTACACTCGCTGTTCATCTGATTTTAAGCAAAGGTTTATGGATAGAAACAATCTTTGATATTCATGAAAATCACTAGTGAAAACATAAAAAGATCCTATTAAAACTATTTTATTACGGATCCCCTGATTCAGGCTGGAAGCGAACATAAATAATCAAATATTCAATCCTGAGAAGACAGATAGCCGTGACCTTATAACTATTTTCATGTTTGATCAAACAATACACTCTAGTATTCCCTTTGGTTATTTATTTATATTTATATAAGAAAAAAAAGGTACATTTTTTTGTATAATAATTATAAGAAACATATACCCACTTTCAAATATATTAATTGTGAACTTGTTTTTACAAGAGTAACCTATTATAGTTGGGAGTTGGAGAACTTGCTAGGCTTTAACCTTGTTGCCACCAATGTACACACACAAAAACAGAATACTAATAGAATTCAGACAATATCGGCCAGTTATTTCCAAATGATTATAATTCATTGATGTACTCTCCAAAAATCATAAAACTCGAGATAAACTATATTATTTACCTATAGCATGACATCTAGAAGCAGAGTATAGTTTGATGGCCTTAGATTTCGAAAGACACACCTCTGCATCATGCCACCGTGACAGACTTATGTATACATAAGCAAGATCATGCCATATTTCCACTTCCATGTTCCTAGCATGATCTATGTAGTCCTGTTGCAAAAAGAATGATAAAAAGGAGTTAGCAGCAACAAGCAATGTCTCCTTCGAATTATAAATCAATCAGGCATTACAACCAACAAACCTTATACAGCTTCTTCCTTGAACCAAAAGACTTTCTCTGAACCAGGAGAATAGCAAGAAGCTGAGTGTATGTTTCAATGGCACTCTTCAACTGGCCTTGTGCAATTTGCAGTTTAGCTTTTGTTCGCAATAACTCTCCTTGATCCCATATTCCAGTCTGATCCAAAGCATCATTGACAATAGATTCAGCATCCAAAAACTGTTTTTGAGCCGATAATATCCGGGCTAACAATAACCACCCTTGAACATTAGACCCACCTTCCAAGTCTAGAAAGCATTTTGCATAATGAAGTGCATCATCCAACTTCCTTTGCTCTGCACATTCTAAACTCAAATAGTATATTACAAGGGGGTTACTCATTCGGGTCACTTTACTCGCAGTTTCCAGGGAATGAAGTGCCTCAGATTGACTCTCAAACCTCTCAGAATCAGAAATAGCAAATTTTGAGTGTGCTGACAGTGAAACACCGAGTAAGAAACTGGCAAGACTTTCCAACTGATCACATTTTCCGTCCAAGTAATCAAGCACTTTGCGGGCTAGGCTTGACCCATCTTTTGCAAGATCAGGGTGCTCACAACAAATCTTGGAAGCCATTAACAAAGCAGAAACATGTTTTGGGTCCTCACTACTACTCAACAATTTCCTAAGAAGATTCAGTGCTACCAAGTCATTACCTGCGCCATAATAACAAAGAGCAAGGGCATGGTACCTTTCTCTTCGATTGATAGTTCCAGGGAGTAATTCTTCCCATTGATTGGCTAAAGTTGACAAATCTCCTGAAACAGATAGAGCAAATGAAAGGTGATCCAAAATTGACGGATCCCACTCAATTTTATTTAGAGATATTTTTCTTAGCAAAATCATTAAAAGAAGTATAGCCTCTTCTAAGTTGCTTTTGGGTACAAACGAGCTGTCCATATGAGAACGAAGATTTGAGGGGATTGCTTCCCCTCCACTATATAGAAGAAAAATAACAAATTCTTTTTGAATCTTTGCTATGGTTTTTGCATCAAGATTCCACTGGTGAAGAATTGCACGACGGTAAGACAAGATAACTTCACGTGGAGACTCGGTAAGCTTCCAAAATTCAGGAAGTAGCTCAACTGCCTTTCTCAAAGTCTCCTGAAATTTACACTCTCCGCCAAAATTTTGAGGCAAGCCTTCATTTGATGAAGACTCAACGATGTCCAGAATAACTTTACAAGTTTGGGCAGCTTCTGCAAGAATAATTGAAAATATATATTAGATAAATTCTGGCTTCCTATGTGACTCCTAACTTCCTTTAAGATTTATTAAATTTCAGAATTCAATGGGAATTTCTTTCTTGCTTGAAATTAGATATTCCTGTCAAGTCGTCAAATGATTGGTTTTGAGCAAGGATATCTTGGTAATGAAGATTCTACAGTCATTTTGTGAAATTAAGAAAGCTACTTTTTATTTTTATTTTTATTTTCAAAAACACTCATTTTAATTTTCTGGGGTGTCTGACCAAACGTATAAAAGTACCGATATGAGGCAATCAAAGCATAAACTCTAATGTTAGAGTTATACAAAAAAAACTGGTGCTTCTAAATTTGAAGAAAAAGTAGAAAAAAAAAATATTTGAAGTCAATTTTTTGGGTATTTTACTAAGGCCAAACAAACATTCCATTCAAACAGAGAAGGCAGATTATTAAATACAAATATCAACTCAAGGGACGGGTCAATGGGGTATATAGGGTGAAAAAACATGTCAAGTTAATCTAGAAAGCTACTATATATCCCAATGAAATGGAAAAATATTCCAGAGGAACACTCTGCATAGCAGGTGCATGACAATGACAAAACATGCAAACTAACTCTCATAGTTAACACAGAAAACTAGAGCAGATAAATCAAAAGCATGCAACAGAAGCTAATTACTTGAAAATAAGGCAGACGAGATGATAGACAAAAGTCGTGTCAATGTGCGGAACTGCAGTTAAAAAAAAGTAGAAGAAAATATGCATGAAAAGCCACAGGCCCTTGAAGTTAAAGAATAAAGAGCAAAGAGCAAACCTATGAATAAAAAACAGTGAGGGTACCTTCAAACCTCCCTAGATGCTGCAAACATTTTGCTTTCAGGAAAACTGCTTCCAACATTAATCCAGCCGTGTATATGGACATTGGAGGAGTAGCATAATAATGAGACTGTTTCTTACGGCGTTCTCTGCTTTTGGCTAGGAAAATTCTGATCTTGTGAGTCACAGCACCAATGTTTATTCTCTCATAAATACGTAAAGCAGCTTCTATATTCCCGTCCTGATATTCATCTTTCGCTAACAAAGCTCTAGCTTCCTGCAAGTTACAGGCATGAAGAAGATCACATAAAATCCAATAAATAGATCATCAAACAACTACATGCGTCAGTCATAATCTCAAAGAAACCACGTCCTTGATAACAACAACACACAATAAAATGAGATAGGAAAAACCACTCTGTTAGACAACCAACAGTTAGATAGACACTCAGGATCTCAAGTCTCAAGTATCCACAAATAAAAGCGGAATAGAGATATCTAAAAGTAGCTTATAAAGTATGAATAACCCACAAAAAATCAAAGGACTTGGATCTCTCTGGAGTAACTAAGCAAGAGCAAGCAATCATACATTCAAGTGTAATTATTCATTGAGTCAAGAAATGGAGAAGGAAGGGACTTTTGAAGAAAGCAACCTCATTGTCCAAGATGCCACTCTCACGCATGAACAATTCGACTTCTCCTATGTTGCCGGAAGCCGACCCCGTCTCAATTTCTCTACCGATACCAGAACGGCCTGCCGTTGGAGAATAAAATTCCTTGATTGCAAGAGATTCCGCGGAAGGAACCTTTTTATCTTCTCCTTTCAATGGCTCCCTCAGGCACAGACACTTCATCATCTTCTGCAATCCTTTCCCCTGCTTAACCCTACTCCCCATGCCGCCACAATAGCCTCTCCTCCGCAACACTGTCACACAATCACCCCCAAAAGGAACAGTTTCATATCCAATTAATTCACACCGAATTTTCTGATTCGATAATCCACAGATTCCTATTTAATTAGGTTGAATTTGAATCGGTTTTGAAAGCAAAGTAATTAAAAAATCCTGACAAGATTAGACCGCGATGTTATGGGGCCAATTAGAATAAAGAAATAACCTCACAAAATTAAAATTAAAGTTAAAATTAAAATGAAATAAATAAGAATAAGAATAAGAAAATGATAATGATAATGATGGTATATAAATTTGTGGTTGAAGAGAGATAAAGAAAGAAAGAAAGGAGGAATTGCCTTAGGTTTATAGAGAAAGAAAAGCAGAGGATTGAGGGATGGCTGGGGACATGAACAGTGACCTCCATTGCTGAGTTTCTACAATGGAAGGAACCTTTGAATGCTTTGAGTCAATAAAAGCATTGAAAGCTTCTTTCTTCTTCTCTTTAGCTTTTCCTTTTTATATTTATGAGAAATGAAACTTGAAACTGGAGAAGCGTAAGAGAAAAGACACGAATTTCACAGATAGTTCGAGGAGGGAACGGAATCGCATGTGGAAAGTTCGTTTTGTTTTTTTGCTGGCTCCCACTCTGCTTTTAACTACCTGGTGGTCTTGCCACGTGCCATCAATGTCCTTCACTACCCATCAAAAGCCTATTAACTATACTTTGTCTTTTCTTTAACACCTATATTTAATTAAGGGAGTTGCTATGGTACCCTCAAAGATGGAAGGGTTTCAATACATTTTTCTATGTAAACTCATAAAAAATTTTAAAAAATTTAATTTAATTATAAAATAAATAATCTAAATTATACTTATAAAATAAAATGTAAGATAAAATTATAGAGATTAAAATTATAAGTTTTCAATAATATTATAAAATATTAAAGAAAAAAAAATTAATAAATAGTAGAAATAAAAAGTTATTAAAATTACAATATAGAAATTCAAAAATTTAAGACAAAAAAACAAAAAATATACTTAAAAAATTATTAAAATTAAAATATAAAAATTCAAAAAATTTAAGTGAAAAGATAAAAATATACTTAAAAAATTATTAAAATAAAACTATTTAAATATATAATAATATTATTACAAATAAATTAAAATATATAAAATAAAAATAAAATGACTAAATAATTTAAAAATTAAAAAAATAAAATATCATAAATATTATTTAAATAAATTACTAAAAATATAAAATATAAAAAACTGTACCGGTACCCTCTCAAATAAGATGGGTACCATAGAATTTCTCATTAATTATTAAGTTCATAGAGGGGAGAGAAAGGATTTTGCATAAAAAAATTGTGCCATTTAAATCTCATCATCTTTTCTCATGGACATGACATGGAACATCATCAATTCATTTATTTATTTTGATTTGTGCATGAAATATTATTTTACAAATTAATTTTATTCAAAATAAGATATTTAATAAATTATATCATACTTATTTATCATTATAGTTTTCGTAGTACTTTAAAATCTCTAGTTAAGTTTTTATTTATTTACTTTTCGATTATCCTTTTCATGTAACATCTTATATTCATATTATTACTATTTTATTTATCTAAACAACAAGAATATAAGTAATGTTAGACCACTATCTTCTATTTTGACTGATATCTTTCTTTCAATAAAGGAGCATATAAAATATTATAAGAAAGGACGACAATCAATTTTTTGAATGACTAGCAAGTATATATACATTTTCATTTTGTGATTGAAAACATTTGCATATATAGGTGAGATCTTTATGCACACACTATATGCATGCGCAATTGTGCATATTTGAATCTTGCCTAATGTTAAAATTTCTAAATGAATTTCATTGGTGAAGATTGTTTCATGCTTACAAAAAGATATATATACCTAGATCTTGTCTCACATGTTTTTCACCAATTATATTTTTCTATTGGTTTGGTGTGATCTATATTTGTATACCTCATTCTTTCTATAAGTGTTTCTCATTGTGTGTATTTCAGTTTTATAAATGGAATATATTTGTGTTTATTTTCCTGAAATGCAAATGGATAACTTTTTAATAATTCAGATGTTAATTTAGACTAGAATAATGATCTTGCTTTTATTGAAATGGACAATTCTCATGGAAGTGGAAGTGAAATGCACATGTTGATGTAAAAAAAAAGTTGTCAATTTAATACGTGATCAATACATGTGAAATTTTCAAGTGAACACGATGCTTATAAATTTTATTTTGCATGTGCAAAATGTCAAAAATTCTGGAATTAGAAAAGATGAGGCATGCCATAATTAGACCCATAATATTGTAATGCATCAATATTTGTGCAACAAAGCAAGATTAAGGAACAAAAAAACACTACATGCAAGATGATAGGAAAAATGATCGTAGACCTTTGATTTGTACCAATTGCAAAGCAAAATTTCGTATACAACTAAATCATATGACATCCAAGTGAAAAGTTGTTATGAGACATACAATCATGAATTAATTGTGCCCCTCTAATTATGTGTCCTTAATTTGTATATATTATGGCTTGACTGATGCAAACAAGGCTCAAGTAGATTGTTTGTACGCATAAAGTGTGAGAACCTATCAAATAATGGGTTACTTGCTCGATCAAAAAGATGGACATGTAGGTCTTGGCTTCAATAAAAAATATCTATTTAATCATATTTAATGGCGTAAGTATTCTCGAGTCAAAGATAAAGATGTATTGTGTGCATTAAATTATCTACAAGGAAAGGCAAATAATGATCCTATATTTTTTCAAGACATATGGTTACAAATGATGGTAAATAAAGGAACTTATTTTGGGTTAATAGTACAAGTAGGTCATGTTTTTAATGTTTTGAACATATGATTGCCTTCGATAGCACACAAGAAAATGGACCGATGGTACAAGTGTCGTTGACAATGAAAATTCTACGTGGTGTATCTCTTCAACGGTCAAATCTATTAAACTTTTGCATTGAGTACTTATTAAATTGACAACTTTTTCAACATTAGCATCTTCATGTATTTCACTTTCTCTTCCACCAGAATTGCCTATGTCACTAAAAGTATGATTATTGTCCTCATCTAAATTAACAGCTTAATCATCATCAAAGTTATACATCTTCATTTTAGAAAAATAAACATAAATACATTATATTTATAAAATTAAAATACACACAAGGAAAAACACTTCTAAAAAGAATGAGGGGTGAAAATATGGATCACACCAATTAAATCAATAGGAAAATGTAATTGGTGAAAAACATGTGAGACAAGATCTAGATATGTATATCTTTGTAAGCATGAAAAAATCATCCCCAAAGAAATTCACTTGGGAAACGGTAAGCAGACTCGCTTTTGGCATGACAGGTGGATCGGTGAAACTCGTTTTTGTGATGAGTTTAGTCGCCTTTATGAAATCTCGTTAAACAAAAATGACTCGGTAGAAGGAATGTATGAGGGTGGTTCAAAGTGGCGGTGGAGTTGGAGGCGCCCACTTTTTGCATGGGAAGAGGAAAAGTTGGTTGAGTTGGCTAATAGGTTGGCCTCGGTAGTTTTGACAGAGGCTCACCCAGATGAATGGCGTTGGTTAGCCGAAAGGTCAGGGAAATATTCGGTGGCATCTGCTTATAAGATTTTAGCAAAGTCAAACCATGTTCAAGTGGACACTTTTTATGATACGATATGGGCCAAAGGTATCCCTCCTAAGGTTCAAGTTTTAGTGTGGCAGTTGGAAGCGGACAGGTTACCTACCCGGGATAACCTCCTTTTGAGAGGGGTTAATCTAGAAGGACAAAATGGTTGTGTTTTTTGCGAAGAAGGCTCGGAGTCCAGCAAGCATTTGTTCCTCTTGTGCCCAAAGGCTTATGCTGTTTGGGTCAGATTATACGCTTGGTGGGGAGTGTCAGGGGTGCTTATCAACGAACTTAGGAGTTTTTGTCATCAATATATGGGATTGGTGAGTGGCAGTAAGGGTATTAAGCGAGTTTGGTCCTTTGTTTGGTTTGCAGGTATATGGCAGTTATGGAAGGCTCGAAATGAGAACATTTTCAAAGACAAACTCTTTAAGGTGGAAGAGATCGTGTTCATGGCACAGTTGAGATCGTGGGAATGGTGTACGGCTGCTAGAATGGTGTCTTCTTCTTTTCCAGAATGGTTGATGAACCCATTGTCCTGTGCAAGTGTCCCTTAAATTTGTTTTTTCTTATTTTTAGGTCATCTTGTTTTTAATTATGACTTGCACTTCTTGTGCACAATTTTCTTGGAATTAATAAATTCTTGGCTTATCAAAAAAAAAAAAACTTGGAAATTTTAACACCAGGCAAGATTCCAAAATCCACAATTGCATACCCGTATAATGGCCCCCATGTATGTGTGTGTTTTAATGTGTACAAGTGTATGCATAAAGATCTCATCTATATGTTTAAATGTTTTCTGTCACTGTCATGCACAAAAAAATGTATATAACTATTAATTGTCCAGAGATCAATTGTTGCCCTCTATTGCAGTACATGTATGCAAGAGTGTCCTTTATTGGAAGAAAGATATCAAAATCACAATGCAGGATACTGATATAACATTGCTCCTATTCTTGCTATTTAGATAATTGAAAAAAGTGGTAATATGAGAATAAGATGTTGCATGAAAAAGGACCATCCAAAGGTAAACAAATAAAGGCTTAACTAGAGATTTCAAAGTACTGCTAAAACGTCTGCTGATAAATAAGTATGAGATAATAAGGAGAAAAGAAACATAGAAGGTGCCATTTTATAGTTGTCTTTATGAATTGATCTATTGATAATCTTGAACCTTAAAAATTGGTTAGAAATGACAACATGATTTTGTTTTCAAATAGATACAGTTGGCAATTGATATAGAAAGTAATGATTGTGCACACCTTTCTTCATAATTTCTTGTTGTCATGGTGCCATTTTATGTGTTAGTCACTTCTTTTTGCTCACTTCAATCATGTTTTTCAAATCTGCTGAATATAAATACAAACAAACACCAAAGACTTAGGTTAGATTCTAGCTAGATTATATTAATGATGTGGCTATACAATTAGTAATTTTTTTCAAATATTTTTGAAAGGGTATTTATTGATAAACCAAATCTTTATAATCACATATATCTCTCTATTATACTTTCCCACTCCCTAATATATATACTTAGAGAGAGAGAGTTTCATTTATTTCAAAAATAAGTCTACCTAGACTTACTTTGTTCAATAACTCATATTTTATATCAAATTTCAATGATCAAACCGTTGAATTTAAAGTTCGTAATGTATAGATCATGTTTGCAAATTTAAAAAAATTAAAAATCATTTGATACTTCGTTTCATTAATTCAAAGTAATATATAAAATAATTTTATAATTATCCATCAATTTGAATTAATGAAATGGTATATCAAATGGTTTTTAAAAATTGCAGACTTAATCAATGCATTAAAAACTTTAAATTAACGATTTGATCGTTGAAATTTGATATAGAACATGAGTTATTGAACGAAGTAGGTTTAAATAAATTTACTCACAAAATAAATGAATCACTCTTCATATATATATATATATATATATATATATATAAAGTTATATATATATAAGTCAGATGTCTCGAGTGAAACCTCATCAATTGATAGAACCCATACCTTTTTTCTCCTTATTCACAAAGTGTAAGCTATAAACATTAGTTAACTTTCACCTTCCTTTGTATATTATGACATTTCTTCCAAACTTTAAATTTTAGAATTAAGTTTATAAAGGTGTGTCTTTATGGATCAAATCAAATTAGTAAATTGTTTTTTTCTCTACTCTAACCTTCATTAATTTAGCATACATGATATTGAATAGGTAAGGGAACAACAAATGCATTGATCAGCACAAGTGAAATGACAATGCATTCATTTAGTTTTTCCAAGCAACAAGAAACTATAATTTTTTTTAGTGATTATTGTTAAAAAACAACAAAAAGAAAAAGTGAAATGAAAATGTAATTTAGATTCACATTGTAAGACCCGATAACCTCTCCACTCTCATTTTTCTCTCAAACCTCAAAACCTTCACTGTTGCTCTCTTTTCCCCAAGGCTGAGGTGGTGAGAACTTGAACTATGAAGCAAGGTTCATCCATTCTTCATCTTCTTCAACCTCAGAGTTGTGCGGAGTTCGTCGTTCACTCCATTCTGAGGTAAGGGAAGCTTGGATTTTGGGGTTTTGGATTTAAAATGTGATGCTATTGAATGAATCGAAGATTATTGTTGGTAGATTCGTGAAATCTGCAATTGAGGGAAGGATTCAAAGGGGTTTTGTGTGGAAATTGGGGATTTTGTTGTTCTTGAGGCAAGATTGAAATTTGATGATCTTCTTGAGTTTTGTGGATGCATGTTATTCTTCTTGGATTTTTTTGAGTTGTATGGTGTCAATTATTGAAGTATTTTGGGTTGCATGCCTTGATCAATTCATAGATTGAGAGAGTTGGGGATATTTGAGCTGTTCATGAACTGGTATGAATTTTCTGCGTTTGGGATGCTAAGCGTGAGTTTTCACGCTTAGCGTGACAATTTGTGAATGCTACTAGAACTCTGAGGCTAAGCGTGGGATCTAAGGCTTAGCATGAGAGTGAGTTGTGTCTCTGGAAGGTTCACGCTGAGCGTGAGATCTTAGGCTTAGTGTGGGAACTGAGTTGTGCCTCTTGAAGGCTGAGGCTGAACGTGAGTTTCTGCGCTGAGCGTGGGAACTTAGTTTGATAAATTTCTTTTCTAAATGAGTTGGTTGTTTGCTTGATGAATGACTTATATGTCTAAAGCTTGTTATTTGAGTTGTATTATGTTGCGTGCGGTTGGAGTTGTTTATATGTTGTTGAAGTTATTTAAGAGTGGTATGTTGATCAATTACATGTTGAAAAGATGATATTGTTGAGGCATGGTAAAATTTAAGTTGTTAAAGTTGTTATATGTTATGCGTTGACTATGTATATATGTTGTGAAATATGATGAGATGATTTAGTTGAGAGTTGTAAAGTGCATGATGATAATGTTGCTAAGTTTTTTTTTAATGAGAGTGTAGGTTGTTATAAAGTTGTACTATGTTGTTTAAAGTTGAGTATGAATAGTGATGATTGAGTTGTGAGATGTTGAGATGCATGTTGAACATAATGTTGTAAACGAGTTGTGAAGTTAAGTAGTTGTATAAAGATGATATATGAGTTAAAAAGTTATGTGTTGTCTGAGTTGTGTGCTAAAAAATATAACGAGCGGTTGTGTTGTTATTCCGAGTTGTTGAGTTGAAATGAGCTATTGTGTTGTTATTCTAAGTGTTGAGATGAATTAAGTTGTTGTGTTGTTATTCCGAGTTGTTGAGCTGAATTGAGCTGTTGTGTTGTTATTTCAAGTTGTTAAGCTGAACTGTGCTGTTAAGTTGTGTGTTGATTGAGCTGTGATGATGAGTTGTTGATCACTAGGACTAGAGGAGATGTTTTCAAAGTTGTTCATCCCATTGTGCGGATTGAGATAGTTGTGGTGCTATGAGAGCCCAATTTGTTAAAAAACCTTCCTCGGGAAGTTATCTCTTGGAGTGGATGATGTGTTGTTCTCCCCTATGACTTAGTTGGTCCCGTGTGTGGGAAAGGTTGAGGCACACGTTTACAAAGCGACCACGGCATAGGAGCCAGGTCGAACTATACCGATTACAAACGGCCAATTCGAGTAAAGTACAAAATTGGGAACTTAGTTGCTAACTATAATGTCTTAATTTCTTTTGATACAATATTCTCAATTTTATTACTATACTCTTTTTAAAATATTAATTTAAATTTTATTTATTATAATATATATATATATATATATATATATATAATAGAGAATAAGTACAATATTTTCACTATATATCAAATTTATTTTATAATTATTATGATCTAATTAATAAAATAGAATTATCTAATATTTATTTATAATTTTATTATTATTATTATTTTATTTTAAATCAGACTCTTAAATTTTAGTTAGTATATTTAAAATAAATAGATAAATACTAGTGTTTTATTTATAAAATCTTATATTCAGTAAACTAAATGTATATATATATATATATATGTGTGTGTGTGTGTGTGTGTGTGTGTGATATCCAATTATATTATAAATATTTAATATTTTATTATTCCATACCAAAAACAACTTATTATAAATTTGCATAATGCTATAGACATATAAAATAAAATGGTTCAGTAGTTTGAGTTCTTATGCATAAGAACTACAAGTTTCAGGTCATAGATTCGAGTCCTACCATGACCTTATATACTTTTATATATATTAAAATAATTAAATGAATTATATGGAAAGATAAATATAATGAAGGCTGTGAATCTATCTAATATTCTTATTTATTACCTTCAAGTAAATATTCACTTCCGTTTCCAAGAAGATATATCCTCAATGGAGCAGCTGTAAATGAAGGTTTGGATTTATTTATTACCTTCAAGTAAATATTCTCTCAACTTTAAGGTAAGGGGCAAGATAACTTTATCTCTTTAAAATTTTATATACTACTATGTTTATTTATTTATGTTAACTTTTATGTATATTTATTTAGTGGGGTGTCCCTAACCTCATTTATTTGCTTAACCTATGATTATTTTTATTCATAATAATTATTAAGATATTCATATTTTATATTGTTTAATTATTTCATAATGATTATTATTTTCATTTACTTGATTGGTGCTCTTTAATATATTTTATTTACATAAATGTTATTTATTTAAAGCTTAAATAATGATAAATACTCAAAATTATTTAGCGTGATTGTTTTTATGATTAACTATAATATAATTTTGTTAAAATATTTTTGACTCGTTTTGTTGTTATTTCTTCACGTATTTAAAGATAAATATTATTCTATGACCATAGAAGATAAAATTTGAATTATTTGTAGCTAGAGGTTTGACCTTGGGAATTTAAATGAGTAAGGAGTTAAGATTAAAAATCCTTTTGTTGATTGGTATTATAATGCTCATTTATCCTGACTAGTCACTGTAAGTGTAATTCAAATTTTTATATGTATATTTTCTAGTATTAACTATTGCTACACATGTTATGTGATTATAAATATTTCTTTGAAAATTATTCTCACTCCTTATTTTTCTTGTTTAAAATATTTAATTAAATATGAAAAATAGATGGATCTACCAATTGTAC